GGATGGTCTGGCCTGTAGCCATACCAACACGCTACCAAAACACAGTATAATTCCGTAACCAAACAGCTTGTCAACAGTTATTATCTCATATATTTTAAATCTATAATGTATTCAAATTAATTATTGTATGAAACTACAGGAACAAGACATAGTTGTATTAATTAAATATGAACTTTGAATAAGGGTACTTCTTTCGAATCAAATTTACGTTTCTACAATCATAAACCATGAAGAATAATCCGAGATGTTATATATCTCGCTGTATCCCAGATGATCTCCAAAAAAAGTGGGGCAGTGTCGTCGAAAGTTCTTTCTTGGATACGGCTGAGAAGATCTTCAGGCCTTAGACCAGCAGAAGCTCTAAAGAATGAGTAGGAAAAAACAACGAAAACTAGTCGTTGGAGTTGAATACACTGTGTAGGGAAACCATGTTATATCCATTGATCCTGATCTGAGATAAAAGGACAGTCTACATGACAAATCAAGAAGGAAGATAAGAGGCATGCTTAACGTAACACCCTCGCTCTTCAATTTTGAATCCCAGGAATTGGTCCCACTAATTGCTGTAGATAAACCGAAATCTCGTACCCCCTTCCCGCTATTTAGTTTTGAATCTCTGGAATTAGCCCTACTATATGACATACATAAACCGAAGTCCCGCTTTGACTCAAAAAATAAATGGTCACATTAGCCTCCAAAGGGTTGCTAAGTTGACTTGAAATAAGGATAATAAAAATTCGGGGTGCTTTATGGATAAGCGGCAACCATTAATGAGTTGAACCCTAACCCAATCGCAGCTATAAAACAAGTCAGATGCACCTTTTCGCATTTCCACGCGAATCACTTTTTAGGATTTCCAGACTGCCACTGGTGTTATGGAATATATAGTTAGTCACAAATTGCCGAAATCATAAAATTACAACTGTTAACGTAAATGTGGACTGTTTCACCTATAAACAGTCGTCATTAGTGTAAATGCGAGTACAGAAAGTATTTCCTACACACTTACTTGCTTAACGAGCCTTGCTTAACGATAAAAGCAATTACACAAACATTTTTTGTTAATCAGTGTGCGACCCTACATTATTCTTTCTGTCACTACCTAATCTTTACCATCAGAAATGGTTATGGTATTGTATACAATCATAATAAGTGCTCATCAAGGGATACACATTTATGTAACAACAACAATAAGGCAGTGTGAAAGGCACCACTGTATTTTTACGAAACAAGCGCGGATACACCTAAAGAACGGAGCGTAAACAAAAAGGTACGGAAGTTGGGGGCCTATGTGCGGAGCGCACAAGTATGAATATGAACTATGCCGAAGAGCTGGCGCTTTAAAACTCAAACATTCTATTCCGATATACGTCGCCATAATCAAACCAACTGTGGACTATGGAGCTGTAGAGTAGATAAATTCAATACTACAGCTAAGTCAAATACAGAGGGCTGCATTCCTGAGCAAACGTGAACATCAGTGAGAGCAATGGAAGTGACAATGAATTTGCCACCACTAGAAATTGATCCGGAGGAAGTGGCTCTGGCAAAAATAGTACGCTTTAAATCCGTTGGTATACAGCCGAATATAGGGTGCGAGACTGCTAGAAGTCGCCTATGATACACGACAATAAGTAACTCTTCTGCAGGCTGATACAGGTAGCATTCCTTTAAAGTTCATCTTTAATGGACCCTATACTACTCGTATTTCCACAGCTTCTGAAAACCAGTTAGAGAAAGGTGCTAATATTTTCTCTGACGAATCTGAGACAAATGAATAGCTGGTTGCGGAGTCTGCTCTAGGAGCAGTCATTAGTCTTGCAAGTGGTCTACGGCCAAGTTTCGATGTACGTCGAATTAGCTGGCATAACTTTACCTGCAAAGAAAATTATTTACTCATGGGGTTGAAATACCACGGCAGATAGCTATATCTGACCTTCGTGGCGATGTAGATTGATACCTCGTAAACACGAGGTCTTCTGATGAAAGCCACAAATATGCCTGCTAGCTCTTGTTGGTGGCTTTTAGTTGTATTTTTCTTTCCATTCTCGTTTTCCTTCAGGTTACACCCGGATCCAGATGTGATGCGCGTATGTTTTCGCTCCGGTGTTTTCGATGCACATCCATTTGGGCATCGGGAACGTTCGTAGCTTGGGTTACCAATCCTTTTATTGCTCCTTTCCCTTTATGACGGAGATACAATTGTCTGTTGTTTCAAGAAAATTACCCACAGAAATGTTACAATCAAAAATATTGGGATCTGCATGGATAGCAGACAGGCTTTGTAAGCTTACAACGAGAACAGTACTGGGCTGCTATTTGGCACTTGCGAGTGCCGCCACTAGTAACAACATAGGTGTAGCGCAGGTGAAGGATCACTCAAAATTCAGGAGTAGGATTATATCGGATAAACTAGCAAAAAGGGTAGCTAATGCCAGAGCTCTGGGATCAGAGTCCCTCTGCATTGTGACCATCCTAGCCCTGACAACTATGCTAAAATATAACATCCACAAAGTATTGAAAAACAGCTGGTATACGCGTCGAGCTGCTTATTCGCTAAAGAATTGCTTAGCTATCTATGTAGGAAAATACTAGCTATCTATGTCCAGGTAACAATGTCAGCCAAGGAAGCATCTCTGTAACATCCAACGAATTTGAATCGATCAGAAGAAGCCAACCCCATATGTTTACATTGAATTATTTGTCGCCAAAACTGCGTAGCTTTAGTGTATACTTTTGACTCATTTGACACCCATTTCCTACCAAAGTGACTACGTTGTACCAGCAAAATAGTAAAGCTTACCGGTAGACAGATCTACCTTCATTAGGCTTGTGACACTCTAACATCTCAATTATCTTCAAATACTCGCACTATTAAAAAATTACACTATAAATGCGAATTTTAGTGAATAAACTGTCAAAAAATTAACTTATGTCAATTCCACTTGTAGTATGCACTTTCATCCTTATTACAGACTGAGATTTTGGAGACAAGTAAATCATAGGTTTGAATTCGTTGGTAACATCAGATTCAGTGACACATCCTTATACAGAGTTTTCGAACGGAAAGATGGGAAAGTCAAGCACCCGCTTTGCGATTACCCAGCTGACCTATCAATCCGAGAATCCATTCTAAAGGTATGCTGGCCTTTTATATCTAATTTAAAGAAAACTCCGCTGGGTTGCATCACCATCATTAGTTTGGGCTAACTGTTGATGCAGCCTTGAGGTACAAGAGGCCCAATGGCGATGTGCCCAAGTGCAATGATCTTCCCCTTTCCCCAGAATACAGAATCCACAATACTACGAAATGCTGCGGTGCGGCGCATTTTTGTTCCTGATTAGGGTTGCCATCCACCCGGCTTGTTTGGCTTTTTCGGCCCTGTGTGGACACATTTTGTGCGGTCTGCCTGGCGTTTGGTAGGCTTTTTTGGTCTAAGTGGTATTCGCATAATCGCGCAAAAGCGGAAGGTGTGCCCGTATTCGTACCGCGTACCGTACGAGGTCTGTAAATTAAGTGATGAGACTGATTTTTTTTATTTTTTTGTTCAAATATGATTACAGTTTCATATCGTCACCCTTAAAGTAACTTCCGTCTGAAGCCACACAACTCTGGAGACGGTTCTTCCACTCCTTATAGCAGTGCTGGAACTCCGATACTGGAATAGCCTTTAGCTGGTCGGTCACAGCCATTTGAATGTTTTTGTCTGAGGTGATCTTTCAACTTCGGAAAGAGAAAAAAGTCACAAGGACTCAATTCAAACGAATAAGGAGGCTGAGGAGCCATATTAATATATTTTCTGACCAAAAACTCGTTTATTGACATTGCTGTATGACAAGATGGTACAACCCAGTTGTTCTTGATGTGACGAACAGTGGTGTGAGTCAAATTGAACTCATTCCCGACCAATCTGACTGTCAACCGACTATCTGAACGCATAAGATCCTGGATTCTGTCGATATTTTCATAGGTTCTTCAAGATAAATCTCCCTTCTGAAAATGCCTTAAACCACCGAAAAACCTAGGCTCTTGACAAAACACTGTCTCCGTAGGACTGTTTTGCAAGAGTTTCCGTTGCACTGTGCTCAAGTATGAAGCAAAAGCTGATAGCACACGTTGCCTCGAATTGATGTTACTCATTTCTAGAACACAATAGAAAAGAGGTGTTTTACAAAAAAATCGCTACGGACAACCAAAAGACTTGAATGGGTTCAAACTTGTACTAAAGACGGATCACATGTTATCCTGTCTCCCCTCCATGCCCGGCGCCTCCAGTGATGCTAGATCGAACGCTACGTTGCCAGTCTCACAATTTAACTTAAAGACCTTGTATTTAACAACCGTATTCAACAGGGTTTCTTCATTATCGTATTATTTTACAGATGTAGGTACGGCCAACTACGCGTGCTACATCCCCTTCTGTTTAAATATTACACGAGCAGTTGTCAGAAGCACTGATGCAGTCGCCACCCCCTCCCCTCTACATGACATGGATCCGATGGCCACCACTGCGTCCTCCCCTCTGGACAGCTTCTTAAATCCGCCAGTGAGACTATAAGTGACCCCCTTGACTCAAAGGCTAGACCCGCCTTTGTGTTCGGTTTTATAAAAGCTATATTTGGCCTTTCAAGAAGATAATATCCGGCATGTCCAACCACAGCAGCGACTCCCGCTTTTTTACTTTAGGAGGTGGCAACCCTATCTGCAGTGGTTGTTCTGCAAGATGTTGCAGTTTCTTACAATTTCTGACACATGCACCGGCAAATGTAATGAAGTACACGTAGAGGAATCATCAAGTGGTTTTCATCATAGACAAGGTCTCAAAATATTTCAAGATTCACTCCCAAGTTTTTACGTACCTGTATATACATACGTCAATAGAAATCATTTTCGTTGTTTACTGTCTGGTAAACCAGTAACATCAAGATTCGAAAATAATGAAGATCATTTTTTATATGCTTAATGTTAATAAATAATTTATGATTTATCAATATTGTAGGATCTCAGAAAACACAGACAGGAATCAAGTTCGTGTGAAATAGAAGTAGTGGCTAACGACTTAAGACATACCATTTTTGAATTCAAGAAGTGGGCTAAACCTGAAAACCCCGAAAAAAGGCTAGTGAACATTTTAGACGGTGTGCACATTTACAATGATCCATATGGAGTTGTTCTGATAATCGGTGCATGGAACTACCCTATACTGCTAACATTAGGTCCCCTAGTAGGTGAGAATCGACTTAGATTTCGCTCTATAGTCTAATCATATTAGCAATAATTGTAAAGCCTGGTTTTATTGGTGCAATCTATTCAAGGGGGTATTTAAAACATGGACGCATAAAATGGGTATACCAATTTTTGTGGGAAAAATTTTTATTTGACAAAAAACTTTCGATATAAGATTTAAGGTATTTTAGAGACCTACAAAATAAAACCACACGTAAAAAGATCCGACCAGTAGTAAAAATGTAATGGCCGAAGAACGAGGCAAAAGGCAGGTTCTGGTACTTGTGGTAACGCGACGATAATTTCAGGCAACTACATGAAATTCTTCGAATCCGTAGGATTCATACTTCTAAATAACAACAACAAAATTGAAGAATATTGGTCAAGTAGTTTTTTGAGAATTTCCAATTGTTTATCCCAAAACACCTGTTTTCCGGCCATCACTATTAGTTTATTGAGCAATATACAGGGTTCGTTCAAAGAGGATTTAATAGAAAAATACACGTGCTTACCTCGCCGATATAAATCACAAACCATTCCGAAAGATAAATGTTATTTTTATGCGAAAAACGAAGGTTATCCTTTTTTCTTCTAAACAGGTTCAAACATTTCGTGTTTGTGAGTAATTGAACAAATAATGCGCTACGATATTCGAAAAACATACGTTACTATACACACTTTAAAACAAAGCGGATGTGTCTATCATCTTTTGTTGCGAATTACTCACAAATACGAAAGTTTGAAGTTGTTTAGAAGAAAAAACGTAACCCATCCTTTGTTGCATAAAAATAACATTTATCTTCCAGAATGATATGCGATTCATATCGGCAGGGTAAATTAGTGTATTTTGCTATAAAATGTCCTTTGAACTACTCCAATATTGTTGTGGTTACTTAGAAGTTTGAATCCTACGAATTTGAAGAATATCAAGCATCTGCGAGAAACCATCGTCGCATTACCAAGTGCCAAAATCTGCAATTTGCCTCGGTTTTCGGCCATAACTTTTTTGCTATTAGTCGGATCTTTTCACGTGTAGTCTCATTTTGTAGGTCTCATAAATACCTAAAAATCTTGTATAAAGAGTTTTTTCGTTTTTAACAACACTTTCGACTGAATTGATTGAATAAAAAGTTTTCCCTCAAAAACTAGTGTTTTAAATACCCCCTTGAACAACTTGCAGCAATAAAATCAGACTTTACAATTATTTCGCAAAGCAGGGGTATTTTCGTCTAATATGACTACTATCCACAGATAATGGTAAATACTTTTGGAGTTTTATGTCAATTGACATACGCTTCTCTGTTTTTTATGACGTATACTTAAGATCCTGAAACTGCAAGCTTGTGTTACCGTTTCCTGTCAGATACTGAAATAAATGAGAGATCAGGGCTCAAAACAGGCGGTGGGAAAAAAGGATCACTTTAATTCGGGATCTGTTTCATACGATGCTTTTCAAAAAGGTCCCCTCACTTTATTTTTTGAACGGGCAAAGTTAGCGATCTGACATTTGGGGTGATGAAATAGATACCTACATGAATACAATATTTTTTAGCTTAGAAGAAAATAAAAATATTTGTATAGTATAATGCTGGTGATTTATTTTCAGGTAAAAACCAGGAATAAATACTCATACTTTTTCTTATTATTTTTAATAATACCGAACAACAAAAGTGTCGCAAGTCTTTTGTTCCTTTTCAGTTCTCAACTAAACTGTCGGTTTTGGAAATAATTCCAGGATTTTTGTTCAAATCAATAATCAAAAGTGATATAACTTGAAAAAGGCTTTTCATTAAAGCATATCAGCCTTGAATAGAGAATATAGTATAGCATAAGTATTTTTATGACATACTATTTATCCAAACGAATGTATTTTTACAAAAAATATTTAGAGTGTGTTTTCTTCGGTTTGCCAAAAAGTTAGTTTTTAGAGTTGTGTCACTTTTGTAGCAAGGGTGCGATCTGTAATTTCCAAAATGGATAAGAAAAAGTGGCTGCGCAACTAATTTCTAACTTTGAATCTCGATTAAGTGTATTTGAGACAAGAATCCAATGGAATTATCATCACCACATACAACTTACAGCTTAGACCTCCAGTAATGCCATCTCTGCAGCAGATTTTACATAACATAAGAGCCAAACATTGATAACTAAACCCTCATGATGTTTAGGCAACACGTACAACTAAGTGCTAATCTAACATCTTGTAGAAAAACCTACATAATGTCAAAAAAAATCGGTATAATGTCACTTTTCAAGATACGTGATACCCGTGCCGCACGTGACATTATGCCGATTTTTTTTTTGACATTATGCTGTTTTTTTTTGGCATTATGTAGGTTTTTCGCCAATACGTTGACTTACCACTTAGTTGTACGTGTTGCCTAAACGTCATGAGGCTTGTTATCAATCATGGCTCTGATGTGATGTAAAATCTGCTTCTGAGATGGCATTTCTGGAGGTCTAAGCTGTAAGTTGTATGTTTTGATGATAATTGCATTGGGTTCTTGTCTCAAATACACTTAATTGAGATTCAAAGCTAGAAATTAGTTGCGCATCCACTTTTTCTTAACCATGCTGGAAATTACATATACAAATTTGATGAATTTCAAAAATGAGAGAGTTAAGAAATAATTATATTTACTGTACACTGTCGAATTACAGGCCATATACATGCTAACAGTAATTACACACAACGCGGGCGCGGTGATGATTTCCCGTAATTTTCCTCAGTTTTTCGTAATTTATAACTTTGAAGATAACCTGTCTTCAGAAAGCACAACATAAAAATAACCCGTCGGGCACAGCCAATAGATATACTTCATTGGCAGCATATTCAGAAATGATTTTCTCACACAGTCTCACTGATTTTATACACATGCAGACTAATACACAAAATCATTAAGATGCGATCTTGCTATTCAATCAACTTTCTTCTCAGAGATAAAAGCGACAGACAATGATCATTTGGCATAACAAAACATATGCAACCAATAATGGGTGTAGTTTAATCGAGTGATTCCTCCTTAGATGGACGTTCACAACGATCCTAGAGAGCAAACGTGGAAATGACTGTTTCCCCCCTCAAAACTACCTAGTTTGCAAGATGACACCTTATAGTTTTTTTGACGTTTTATAAGTTTTTTACATGATACCCATGCCGATTGTTGCTTGAAAAAAGTGTTTGACAACTCAAAACTCGCTTGTCATTCATATGCGTCAAGGTTGTCAAGGTAAATAAAGCGTCCTTAAAATAAGGAGGCACCAATGAACTACTTTGCATTGTCCCATGTAACGCTTCTCTGTTAAACACCAAAAAATCTATTTCAAACAGTAGTCTGATCATTCGATCATGTAAATTTAACCAATATAAAATCATTCGTCTAAAGTTTTTGGCTAACAAAGAAACAGAAGCATTTGGAATGGAAAATGAAGCTGCGGTGCAGTATCCAATATTCCACTATGTTTATGAAGCTTGGCAACACCCCACAAGCGCTAGATGCTAGACAGGCGATTCGCAGCATCTCGCCGACCAAAACCTACAAAAAACAGAGCCAAAAAACGTTTAAAACCTAGTTTTACTGAACCTTTGGAAATGCATTATGATAAGTTTCGTAAACAATAGGGAATTTTTAAATAATTATATTCGAAAATGCATCATTGTAATGATTAGTTTAGTGAATGGTTGTTTTTAAAAGGAGTACCTACCACTCGCAGGAAATTTACCATACAAGGTTCTACTCAATCCTTGGATTTTGGGATACAATACGCAAAATAGGCCCAAAAACTAGGAACGTGCTTGAACTACTATGATAAGAAACAACTTTTGTTATTTAACACTAAATATAATGTCACATACCTTCATACCTATTGCTGCCATAATCGGTCAAATGACGTCCTAACAAGTATTACTCAAACAAAGCGATAAGATATGCTCATTTTCGATTCAAAAGTTCAGTGCCCGTCTTTTTGACCAGTTATTGTATGTTTATTGTTAACCAAAAGTAACATACAAACGTACGTCCATAGTAAATATTATGTAGGTTAGAAATAAATACATGAAAAGGTGCTCACCAAAGATCAGAAACCAGGAAACCGTTAATACAGCTTAAAGTCACTATCTATCATTTCACTACATATTATGCGATTCATTATCATTCCGACCGATTATACACCTGTTTTATTGATCTTGAATCAATATTTTTAGCGCATCCCATCGATCTGGATCAACTACTTTTTCAAACCTTTCCCTAAAAACTAAACGAGTGGATGCGGTGTTATCACGTCCCCGCTAAATAAATTCTTTACCGGTATAAAAATTTAGAAGTATTTGATTGTCATAGGATCAAGATGTGCATAATTTTTGGAGCGACTGAACCAACATCTCGAATGCACGAGAGTTTTTGAATGGTCCAGGTTTGCCCTTTGGGCGAAATTTTCATGCAATTCCCTTTATTAGTCTATTAATAAAAAATTATTTTATACTTCCTCTTCCAAAAATTTTTCACAGATTTAACCCTACAAAACAAAATATAGCCCAGATCTATCTAAGTCTTTTGCTCCATGGCGTTATTACTCGTAAAAGAAATATTTCCAACGCCGTAGAATGATGTGAAGCTTTTAGAACTTATCTTGTGGCCGTCTTCCTGATTCCTCTCCATAATATCTTGGCTAATAAACGTGGCCAGTAATATTTAATTAGCTACATTGCTGAAGTTTCAGCTGCCTCGGCAGATATGTCAAGTTAGCGTTTTGTTTTCAAAATGCTTGAATTTTTTATATTGTACTCAAAAGCGGCTTCCGGAACAGCTGAAACATCGGTAAAGTAGTTTAATTTCATCAGCATTTATAAGTTACCGGCCAAGACGGTAAGGAGATTGTCACCTACAATGATAAATACTCAGCTTTATTATTCTGAACCTTTGAGAGGTGTCACTATATCAAAATTCAATTTCATTCAAGATCTTTGTTCAAACAAAACGGTATAAATACTAGAATTACTATTATTTTAACCAAGGAATGATGTTCTGTATGTCTTACATATGATAATTTTTTAGGCGCCCTTGCTGCTGGTAACTCAGTCATCCTGAAACCTTCAGAGTTGGCACCAGCTACCGCGGAGCTATTAGCTAACACCTTAACTAAGTTTCTAGATCCAGAGTGTTTTCAAGTAATACTCGGAGGTGTTGAAGAGACTACTGAAATATTAAGAGAAAAGTTTGATTATATTTTCTTCACTGGATCCACCACAGTTGGTAAAATAGTCCATCAAGCAGCTGCTAAACATTTAACTCCAACTACCTTAGAACTAGGTAAGCAGCCCCGATAAATCTAAAGAATAATGATTTTATGTACGCAAATATCCAACTTTGATCTTTTTTCAGGAGGAAAAAGCCCAGTATATATCCACGAATCAGCAGATATGGAAAAAACAGCTAGAAGAGTCATATGGGGCAGAAACCTTAACAGTGGACAGACTTGCATTTCACCAGACTACATTTTATGTACGAAGGAAGTACAAGAACGTTTCTTACAACAGGCTAAAAAAGTGATGCTGGAACTTTACGGATCAGACCCAAAAGAGTCACCTTACATTAGTAAGATTGTAACTGAGAGGCATTTCAAAAGGCTTTTGAACTTCATCAAGCCAGATAAGGTTGCTATTGGTGGAAAATTTGATGCTTTAAAGCGAGTAATCTCACCGACGCTTCTGATCAACGTTAGTCCAAATGACCCAGTTATGTGCGAGGAGATATTTGGTCCAATCTTACCTATAATCAACATCAAGAGCCCTGAAGAGGCTATTTCTTTTATCAACGCAAGAGAAAAACCTTTAGCACTTTATGTATTCACAAAAGACAAAACCATAAAAGAAATGTTTTTGAAAAATACTTCTTCAGGAGGAGTAACCATAAATGACACAATAACTCATATCATCACTGAGAATCTACCATTTGGAGGGGTAGGAGCTAGTGGTATGGGAGCCTACCATGGGAAAAGAGGTTTTGACACGTTTACACACAAAAAAGCGGTACTGGTGAAGGACTTTGCACCATATACTGAGCTAGCATTGTCACTGAGGTACCCGCCTTATAGCGACACGAAAACGGACATCATGAACTTTTTGTTGAAGAAACGAAAAGGCATACCGATGACTTATTTCAAAACTATATTTATTTTCATTCTTGGTATACTTTCAGCGATCCTCTTTCAGTATGTTCGAAAAGCTATAGCTGGTGAAGATGTCAATGATTAGGTTAGATTTTAACACTATACAGGGTATCAAAATAGAACTGCAGCGATCAATTACTCAAAAATGTACGTAAGACAGTTATGAAAGTTTTTGTTAATTATTGCGCTAGCTTTGCAAGTGAAGTGAGACAATCCAAACAGACGTGACGGACAGAGAGCGCTTGAAGGCAACCCTCCTCTCGTTCACCAAAGGATTTTGTTGGTTAATACAGGAAGCACGGATTCTTTTCAATGAAAAACTCCCATTAAATTCATAACATGGACAATTATGGTACCTATACTAAATCATATAATATAAACAAACTATTATCTTAACTGCGGACTGAATCACCACCAGAGCTAAGAATTTCACCAGTCAATGAAGTGTACGAATTATAAAGAATAACTCCGGAAATACAACTTAGAAGTCCGCTCGTAAGCCTGGGATTGCCTTGCGGGTAACCACCGCCCTTCTGTTGCTACGGCACCTTGTGCAACCCCCGTAGGTTTGAACATCTGCTCGATGTGAGAGCCAAGCCAACGCCGTGAACTATGACCAGGCCTTGGCAAGATGGCGGACCACGCCGCCCGACCACAATTAGGGTTGCTCAATTTGACCACGAACTTTATCTATAGGCCGTTGGCTATCCCCGAAAGCAAACATACGAGTAGTTACCTCGTTAAGCATCCTGGCTATATGTTGGCTAAGGGATACAGACTGACCACCTGTACAGTGTGAGTACAAAGAAAACTGTGATCTGCTGTAGATGCCCATTCGCTCTCTTACGCTGAATCTGTTAGTTGAGCCGTTTGAGTTAACCAATCGGGGTCGAGCTGTCCGGTCTCGATTCCGAGCCACAAAATTTCTTAGTCCAGTCGAACTAGGAAATTTTGAGATAATATTGTGGTTGCCCAGAGATGAGGCAGTCAAATCAGCGAATGCCCAGCTGACTTCAGAGTTCAAAAAGAGCACCTGAGCTAACCTTGATTAGAAGAACGAAACATGTTTACAGTTTGCTGACATGAGTCACCGCAAGAATACAATCGTTGTATCTACTGCTGATGTCTGCCGTCACAGCTCAGCTAAGATTAGCGTGTTGGTAATGCAATTGAGATGAGGTGAAAAAGGAACACCACCTCACTTAAATTGATTTTTATTAAAAAAGGTATGTGCAATGAACTTAGAAAACTGAATTGAGGTGAGCTATAATTGTGTGAAAAACAAACGCAACGTGCAAAACAGATGCATGAAATTTGTCTAAAACTTCCAGTTGTACCCCAAGTAGATACCACCTTGTTTATTTTAAATAGATCTCCCTGTATATTACTCAATTTTTTGTTTTTACGTGGGATTCTAAACACAGTTCATGTATATCATTATTTACCTAAGTCTAAACGTGATTGTGATTTTTTCAAGTTTTGCGTAAAAACGACATTTGCAGGCCAATGAATTATAACAATTACTTTTTCTCGCATCTTTGCTTTTGCTATATGATTTATAACGGGTTTCTTATAGTAGGTAACCTATTTCAATAGATTGTATTGCTGATTTGGATACAAATAGTAGCAGATGGTCAAATAAAGAGAATGAAAATTAGATTTTACAAAACCGAGAAAGTCAACTATTTCAAATGGAAACCACTTTTTATAATTTCATCGTATTAGGCATTGAATATAAGGCTAGTTTTATATAAGGTTGTCCACATGGCAAATTAGTAGGTTTCGATCTATATTGAAACATTGGTTTTGCTTTTGTTTCAGTGCTCCATAAGGCTTTTTATCTGTGACGGTTAGATTAAGTATAAGATAATATACATGAAATATACCTAGAATCTCGCATAAAATCCAAAAATTGAATACCTACTATCAAAAGTGTGCACCATTTTGAAAGTATGTCAACCAAATTGCTCACATCAGTTATATCTTAAGCCATCATAAATGTCTTACGTCAACTTTTTGAGTAAGCAATCGCTGCAATTCTACGTGGAACACCCTGTATATAGAATGTGTTTCAGTTAACGGAGTAAGTACCCCTGCTGAATTGAGAATTCTTGCACTCTAGTGGTCACCAAATATTACCGAAGCTCACCATAGTGGGAGATGTTCTGGGACATATTAAGGCTTAGATGACTCCAAAGATATCAGCATCTTATACCTCGAAAACGCATTTCATCTGTCACATGACAATTGTGCTCTTCTCAGAACTGACTCGATCACAAGTCTCACATATTGCAATAATTATTAGGAACATGGGCGCGCGCAGGAATTTTTCTCAGTGGGGGCGATATTAATTTTTGTGAAAGTGAACATGAACCAAAACTTTATTGTAGGTAGCAAATTTTCTCGAGGGGGTCAAATCTTGAAAATTTTACACAAAACCATGTTAAATAGGTAAATGTTAAGGTCCAACCGCATTCAAGGGAGGCACGTCCCTGCGAGCGCCCATGACTAGGTAAAATTTTGTCACCACCTACCTGTACCTGTGATAAATATGTTTCTGAGCCATCAAGTTGTACAAGTATTATTTTTCATAAAAATTAAATAGCTTAGATTCATAACTTGTTTTATTAGTAATATACATACATTGTCTTCCACTTCAACCTATATTTATCACAAGATGTATACAATCATACACAAATCAATATTTTTTTGTATTAGAAGGTTCTATGAATTCACCCCCACCACATCACTTGAGATGCAATTAGAATCCTTGATAAAGGGTGATACATTTGTTGGTTAGTTTTTAAGTCGATGGTTAAAATGGAAACGCAGAGTTCTTTTTCCACACGGTTTTTTTTTATTTGGGAGTACTATCCTTCCGGTTAATGATGAAACACAATCTCATTCATATGCGCGGCACGGCTGAGCTTGACGTAGCCGATTCTGTCGACCCAATTTTTCAGTACATTTTCCAAAGTCTGCGGCATTATCTCACCAATGGCTGCATGAATATTGGGCTTAAAGTGCTCAATCGTCGTTGGATTATCCACATAGCATTTTTTATCTTTTACGCTTCCCCACAAAAAATAATCCAACGTAGTTAATCGCAGCTTCGCGGTGCCCAAGTCACATCATCAAAACGGCTGATCACCGATTTTTGAACAGTTTTTGGAGAAGAGCGATTGTTTCGCTACTTGTGTAGCAGGTGGCGCCATCTTGCAGGAACCACATGCCATCCAAGTCTTTTTATCGGTTTCCGGAAAGATATAGTCAGTCCGATAGCGCACAACAATGACCGTGACGGCGCGTCCTTCGTCATCTTCGAAAAAAAAGCCCAATAATGCCACCAGACCATAAATCACACCAAACAGTCACGCGTTGTGGATGCATCCAATTTTTAGCGCTTCCCAACGTTGTTCAAGCGTATATCGGATCCATATTCGTTCACCGCAGACTCTTTACTAAATTCCTGTCAAAACAGAACTGATGATGATGTTGCCAACCGTGAGATAAGCCCTAGTTCAAAAATTAACCAACAGATGGAACACCCTTTATGATGAAAATATGCATTGGTAATATTTTGGGTATACCGATTTGATGGACAATAAGTGTTAAACTATAATGCTATACATCAACAGCCAATAGCGAAAATTTCGTAACGAAGGGTTGAGTCAAGATAAATGTAGTATGTTCCTTCTCTAAACCTCTATGTGCACAGCGAACCTAGCAAAAAATGCTAAAGATCATTTTAGTCGACCTCGTTTTGTATATACTTATTCAAATAGTATGCTCCACAAGTAACAGCGACTCCCAGGCTAAACATGATAAGATGAGGCACGTATTTTACTGGTAGCGTCCTATTGATCCTGAAAAAGCAATAATCAGATGGAAAAGTATTCAAATAGAGCCTATTCATCAAAGTACATTAGTCCAACTGACGAAGAAATGAGATACCTGTATATTTTTTTTATTACATGATATGTAAATCACAAATAACCATTTCACTCATACCCACCAGTTTGTCTGTTTATCCGCTATATTATCAGTATTTTTATTATAACGTATAATGCGTCTATCTGCTTTCAAATCTATGTTATACTACTATGCTAAGGAAAAAAGTTGAACATTGAAATAGAACAAACCTCATTTTTTGATGTTCCAGAAGGACCTGATCGTTTTCAAAAAACTTTGACTGAGATATATGGACGTAGACCCGATTTTATGAGGGTTATGCATGTGTTTAAGGTTATTTGATTTCTGGGGCAATGTATAGTATAATTATACGAGTATTATAGTATATTAGTACGTATCAAGAGCTATTGTAATCAGTTATCAAACATTGATGACGCTTTTCTTACAGAGCTCCAAAGGAATAAGGCCATGCTCATTGCTGCAGTCTGTGATTTTTTTTTCATGTAAAGCCCAATTAGCTAATGCAAACATTAATATGTTTCTGACACGACTTTTTGAAGCCACTACGAAATTACATTACATTAAAAATTATGTAGCACCTGAAACTTATCCTGTGGTTTTCATGCTGATAATCTTCCATGTTTTTCTAGCCGCTGAATGAAACGACATGATTTAGTTGAAAAAGGCCACCATTGAGACCAAAACTTCAAGCGGCCAGACAAACATAAGAAGAGGTGAGAAGCGTAGAGTAAATCTACTTGACATCATTTTTAACGCAACTTCGGACGATACGATTAAGCAGCATATGACGTGATTGCATGAGGTAGCTTCTCGCAAAGTCATAGGAATTCGCCAGAAAATGCGCCGTAGTTTTTGTTGGAGTACGTTGCTGTGTCGGATTGTATATGCTGTACATGTGATTCACAGCCTCAAGTGTGATATCTTACCTAAACACAGTTTTCAGCAGCTTTGTCTTGGTATTGTTATATGGTGGGTATCTAATCGAGTCAATTTTATCAATCAACATAGAAGTTCCTCGCTCCATGACAGCTTTTTTGTGAGAAAACGTATCAAATGTGTGTTTTCCGTGATATGCACCAATACCTAAAATTAAGACGGATAGCATTCTAAGTCAGGGGCACCTCTACATTTTTTACTACGATAGATAGTAATAATAATAGTGATCAAGATTCTCACAGCTCAACTGAGCGATCAGTACAACTTTGTGAGCATTGAGTTAGACTTCACAGCTACCTGAGATAAGGAACGCCATATTGAAAGTGAGTTTAAGACTTGCCAGAAGTGGTTGAATTATTTAAGATCCGATTGCTCATTTGAGGGGACCATTGTTTCAAAATGCCTTGAATCAGTATGCTAGTACTGTCATCACTCTGAAGAGTAAAGCTCCATAGAACTGAAACTCAACGCAATGCTCAAACCAAAAGGTAAATTGTACGTCAAAAATCACATAGCAAATCATATTAGTCGTTAGCTTTCCATCGATTATTGCAATCAGATATGTCAAGGGGTCCCGCGAGGATAGCTTCAGCGCCTATAGTAATTTCATCAACCTCAGGTCCATTGCGCAGCTAAGGTCTTGAACCTGACTTGCAGCTCCGTTAATGTTATTTGCAGATCATCTATGCAACAACATTATCTTATATTTTATGACTAATATACTAAGTGACATATAAATCCAAACACCCAGTTTAAATGGTTTTATTTTAATAAAATTTTGTATAAGTACTTAATGAAGCATAATAAGTAAATGATAAAAATTTCAAAATGATTGCACTGCTTTAAAGCCCTTTGACCTTTAATAATGTGTGGATGCACCCTGATGTGCTACGCATTCTCCAACGCGCCTAGGCATGCTTCTGATCAGGTGGTCAATGTCCTCCTGTGGTATCTCATTCCAGGCAACCACCAACTCCTCTCGAAGTGCTTCTAGAGTCTGAGGAGGACGTTGCAAATTGAGCAATCTCCTACCCATCATATCCCACACGTGCTCAATTGGGGATAAGTCGGGAGATCTTGATGGCCATGGTAACAATGTGACATCATTATGTTGAAAGAAGTCTATTGCGACTCTTGCAACATGTGGTCGGGCATTATCTTGTTGGAAAGTTGGATCTGCCAGGGTGTCAAGATAGGGTAAAAGATGGGGTTCTAGAACTTCGTTGATATAACGCTGCGCGTTCATGTTACCTCTGATGAAGATTAAAGGTGACCTGGAACCATAAGCTATAGCATCCCAAACCATAACTCCAACAGTGTGATGAACATGTCTTTCAACAAAAAACTGTGGATTCCTCCTTTCACCACGTCGCCTTCTAACCCTGGCACGACCATCGTGCATGCCTAAACAAAATCGAGACTCGTCACTAAAGACAATACTGTTCCATTCCTGATCCCAGAGTGACCAATGTCTGGTCAAGGTGATTAGGTCGGTGTTCTCGAGTTAAAGGGAGGTCCCAGTGTGGCCGGTATGAAAACAATAGGTCTTCTGTGTTCTGCAAACCATTCATTTGCAATGGACCTGGTAGTGGAGAATCGGTCCCTTAAGGCCAATAATCTTAGGCGGCGATCTTCACGGTCTGTCGTTCTACGGCGGCGTCCAGTGCCCCTTGCTCTTTGCGTACGGCCTTCTCGAAGCCATGCCTGACAACACCTAACCACAGTGTCTACACTTCTTTGCACTCTAACTGCAATTGCCCGAAAAGAAAGTCCAGCTTCCCGAAGTCCCACTATACGGCCCCTATCAAACTCACTAATTTGACGAAATCGTACAGGTCTCCGTACTCTAGGCATCGTAACCGATCGTAAAGAATGTCAAGAACCAAAATCCGCCAACGTTGATTCTTTACTGCGGCTGAAATATTCATTTTTAGAGCGTTAGTGAATTAAAAAAAAGCAGTATAAAAACCGGAATGTCCAACTGATAAGGCTGAAAATTTGTTCACTTGTTATTTACAGTAAGATAAATACATTCACCAACTTTTATTGAAATAAAACCATTTATACTGGGTGTTCGGATGTATATGTCACTTAGTATAGTTTTACCTGAATTTCCAACTCCTCCAAAAGGCAATCCATCAGCAACCGAATGCATGAGCACATCATTGATCAGAACAGCTCCACTAGACGTCTCCCTCAAAAAGGCCTTTTTCACCTTCTTACATCCAGTGAAAACGTAAAGCGCCAAAGGCTTCTCCCTCTGATTGATGAAGTTGATGGCTTCTTCATAACTTTCCACTGTGACAATGGGCAAGATGGGCCCAAAGATCTCTTCCTGCATAATCGCGTCATCAGGATGGACATCTGTGACGATAGTGGGATGGACAAAATGGTCCTTGGGATCACTGGGACCGCCAATGGCCACCTTCTGATCACGCAAGAGGCCAGTTAGGCGGTGGAAATGGTGTTGGTTGATGATGCGGCCGAAGTCGCCGTTTTCTCTCACATTGTCTGAAAAAGAATATATCAAGATCTGCAGTTTATTTTTGAAATACACATTATCTAAAACTGAATGCTGTCAAATCTTGCTGCAATTTATTTGGGCCTAAAAAGAATCTTGAATTATATCAAGATTGCATTAATATTAAGGTGAACAATGAAGACATACAAATATCATTTGTAAATGAGTGCAAAAACCGTGGTATATGGTTTGGCTGCTATCTACGCTAAATTAAAGATGTTATCCAGCCATGCAATGTATCCTATAATGTCTTTCGTCAGTTTTACCCGAATTGAAGGGTACAGCTTAAGCTTAAACTCTACGAATCCCTAATCCTGCAAAAATTGTCTTACGGTGACTTTGTTTATGGACCTGCTCTCCTACAATGCGATACCGAGCGGATTCAGATGACACAATACCCATGAAACAGATTTTCTTGGAAATGAAATCCGTAAATTTGATCATATTAGTGTCACTTTTGGGCAGTCAGGATGGCTTAAGATGGACAAATTGAGGAAACTGCATTGCCTAACTCTGATGCGTAAGACTCTTGTCCTTAAATTGCCATATTAACTTTATACATAGCTGTCTTTGCTCTGTCAGTACGATTGGAGATCCTCTAGGAATATACTCATTTTATTTCCGGCAGTTGACAGCATTGTTCACGTATAGTTTCTCTTACTGGGCACCCAAACTATATAACTTCATGCCAATGGAATATAAAGAATTCAGCCTAAGCAACTCTTAAAAAAGGTTAGAGATGACCTTAAAGCAATCGGATGGCTAGAATTTACCTTGACGCATCTTTACAGGTAATTTATTAATTGATTGTTTCCTTTGTCAGTGAAGTGGAATATCTTGTATTTTTATTTTTTGTGATCAAGGTTGAGAACTGTGCTGTTTTAAAAATCTAGATATTTTTTTCTTTGTAGTAGTTTATCAATTGTCTATGTCTTTAGGTCGGGTTGAAAAACAGCGTAAGCTGACACTCCACTTTTTCGTTACTTTTTCTTTTTTTATTGTCTTTTATTTTGTCATGCTGTAACACTTATTATTCGAGTATCCTTTAAAAATATTCCTTCTCAGTAATAAAGACCTAATCAAGAGGGCTCATGTTTGCGCAGATGTTTTCTTAAAATAATTAAAAAAAATCAGTCAGTTATATTTTCACCCTATGTTCTCTGGGCATAATGCTTTATAAGGTTGATAATTGTTTTGCCTTGTTGACCTTTCAGCCAAAAAAAATAAATTGTGTCCTTTACCATTAAAAATATGTTTCATCACTGCGATATTTTTAGAAGGATGTTTTTCAAGCATAGTAATCCTGCTACCTTATTGTAGAAATACGGCTTCACGCCTGAAATGTATTTATCAAAGCTTTTCCAGCCTTGAATCAATCCTCTGATTTCGAAACTCACAAAGACTTGTTACTTCAGTAGTCTGTTGCCTACTCATTTAATTCCTTCATTCGTACGAACTCAGCAACTTTCACTGAAATATATTCTTCCAATTCCTCTCCACAATAATCAGTTCAGAACTCGTATTGATAAACTTCCCCCAAAATTCTCGGTCACGCTACATTAAGTATGTATGCTTTCTTCGTTACTCCTAAGAAACTCAAAAAGTAGGTCATGCGGTTTAAATATCAACGACAAATACAATGGAGGAAGTGTTTCCAAAATCAAATAATAAAATAGCTGCCGTCAAGTAGGCTGACTCTGCACTTCCTATGCAATGCTGTGATCAGTTCATATTCGGCACAGGTTAGACCCTCTAAGAAAAAAGTTGGCTACGAACATGTATACCAAAGGAATTAAATGGATCATGTCAGTGAAGCAGGCTCATACAATTGGTCAACATTCTCAACTGATTTACCCAGCAACGTGGCAACGCAGCACAGCACGAATATACACTGAGAACCAAATTTGTCTTATGGCTTGAGTTTTATTTGTACGCAATCTGCCGCATATCCAATATGTTTCAACAGTTCCTTGAATTAAGATGCATATTGAGTGTATGCATTAGTTTATTCTTCATGCCCACATCATGTTTTTATTTTAAGTGTACATATTTTTGAATTGTGAATTGTGTCGAATTTGTTTAGGATTGATTCCAGATCGGTCCTAACGGCGCTCCATTTTAGGTCGAAGTGAAAGGTCAGGATCGTCTTAAATTCCGCAACATTGCATCATTGGTTCGTTTGATAACATCGCATCTTGTACATTCCAACGCAAGGTTTCCATCTCTATGATCATAGTTGAGCGATTTTGGTCAGTACCCATCTAGCGCTCGTAGGAGTGTCGTCCTGCTTCGAAATGACTTTCACCTGCGTACACGCAGGCAGTGATAATTTGTATTGCGTAACGTTATTCGTTACATTTTCCGACCGCAGCACTGTCGCAAAATGTAACAATAACTCAGGATGTGTTGATTTTTTCACCATCGGTGGAAGTCAAAGATACTTCTAAAATAAATTTAAACACAAACAAAAATTGAAATAAACAATAAATTATAATCAAAATGAAAACAAAATATTGAATTAAATGTTCGAACAGGCCTCCTCTTGGGTTTGACAAAAATCTAACCTATTGTAGCAGTCTGTGCGAATATTTTCTGGTGTAACGAAATGGCTACGCGGCAGGTTGCACGACGTTTTGCGTCAAAGTTGCTAGGCAACGGGGTGATGACCGTCGCCCTTCAGCCGGCTGCTATCTCTTTCTAACATGTGTTGATATACACTGCTCGCGCTTCTTTTTCGTGCACATTGAACTCAAGCCGCCAGACATATTTGGTTTTCCTTGTATAATCGCATATTTTTTTTGTATCTCCATCATTCAAGTTTCAAGGGTAAATGTATGCAAATTTCGATGATGTGTGAAATATAGTATGTCGAATAGGTACGTAGAGTTACCGGGGTTGCAAGTGTGTTGATAAACTAATAAAAAAATTGCGATAGTGACGCAAAAGTGAAATGTTTTTTTGATGTTATAAGACATCTATGACAGATTTGTTGCGAAATTTTACGTTTGAACTTTTCTGGCATGAGCCCATCTTAGCCACTTACCTCCATAAAACTGGTGTAAAGCAGCCTGAGCATACTTCAAAAACTTATCTTGCACTTCTTTTGAACACAGAACATAGTCAGGAGCAACGCATATTTGTCCGCAGTTCTGTGTCTTTCCCCACATTATTCTTTTAGCTGCAAGCTTCAAATTGGCTGTATTATCTATGTAGACTGGGCTCTTACCACCTAGCTCTAATGTCACTGGAGTAAGATTTTGACCTATAAAGAATTGTGCGTCACAAGAATATTCGTCATTACTAGAAACATATGGTTAAGGTATGCTTTCTGCAGAGATAGCCAACCAGATACCCTTTTTCGGAGTGCAAAAAACGATTTGCAGGATACTAGCGCCTTCTACATGACTGCAGCAGAATACAAAAATGATCTTAGAAATCAACTTTGAAACGAGGTAGAATGTATGGTTTTGCAACAGTCTTGTAGATGGTGTTAGGCACTCCAATACCTTTTTGGCGGCTGTCTTATGCCTGTTTTCATTGGATACCTTCAGGTAGAATATGATAATCAATGGCTAAAGATGCCCAATTAAAATAGACATGAGAGCCCCGCTAAAGAGGTTGGGGGGAGTGAAGATCGTAGTACCATCCATGAGACAATGATTCAACCAGACACTCTTAGCTTTACTACTCCAATTACACACCCACGCATCGAGAGTATACATAACGCGCCGAGATGCATCTACCACCATCTACCAAGCTTCGTCGAAGGCTCAGGTTCAGTCTGGAACGCTTCTGGATTCGTCGATTTGGAGATAAATGCACGCTAAGAGAGCGGGCAGCAGAGTCGATCAACAGCGAATAATGAGTCAGCAACGCGAAACGCGATATAGTCCAGTCGACGTAGTCATAAATTTGTAATAAATTAGTTGTAAGTGTTGGAATAAAATAGTGGACGAGTAATAAATTCGACTTCAAAATAGTAAAAACGGTGTTTTCGTTATAATAAATTCATTTTTTTATTCTGTTACTGACTCATAGATGGTGTTAGTTTCTAACAGATCTTGTTTTGGGCACCCGAATACAGTATATGTTTGCTTATCTTCAGGTACGATAATCAATTATATGATATGAGCGGCTTCTTGCAAACATGATATGGAAGATAGAATCAATGAATGGACGATCAGTTTTTGGAGGATAAGCAGGAAAGATAATGTTATCAAAATTTTTCACTTACTTGCTGCCTGATGTACGAGCTTTCCGATTGAAGGTGAACCAGTGAAGAAGATATAGTCGAATTTCTGTTTGAGGAGTTCCGATGTCTCCTCTACCCCACCAAGGTACACAGGATAGCACTCGCTATCGATGTACTTAGGCAGGAGGGAGGCTATAGCTCTAGCTGTAGCTGGAGCATGTTCTGATGGCTTTATCACTACGCAGTTTCCAGCAGCAATGGCACCTGAAAAAAAAAATGTTAATTCCGTGAAGAAAAGAACTCTTCATTTTTCTGACATCAAAGATCATATAAACTAAGGACGTCTAAATGGAGAACGTGTTTCTATTTCGTTATACATGTTATTAAAGTATTCTTATATTTTATGTAAATATTATTCTTTCATTTGAAGATATACAGTAAGTTTCTCAGGTTCATAATAAAATATTAAGAATTACTATAAATTGCTGTATAAATTTGATAATGGATTTTGAATACTGAAATTACCATTGACCTTTCCTTGAACTTATAAAAATATATCGTCTTCTAGTATCATTTTGTCTACTGTAGCCTTCACACACAAATTATATACCACGCAGCAAGAACGAAGTGTATAGGTTAATTAGTTAATTGCATGACATAGGAGCTGTTAAATAGCTCTTCTCATCTTCATTAGAGCTATTTTGTATTATCCGCCTCTAATGCTACGAGCTCTTTCATCTCTCTTATAAAAAGCTTTGTTAAAGTGAAACCTTGATGAATTATATATGTACCGCTACATTAAAGCTATTAGTTTTGCGATGGAAGGATCATAAAAGCTTTATTATGGAAGATAGATTCCAATGTTAAGATAATATATAGTACTTGAGAACAAAGAACCGTTCTTCACTACGACTGGTATTTCTTGGATCCCAGGATCAGATACAAACTGTTTCAGATGAAAAATCCATCGACGAGTTCAATTATCGTAACAGCTTTTGGTATTGTTGTAACCTCGTGATCTCTCTGTAAGTGGCATATACCTTCGAACAAATACCATCCCGTTAATCTCATATGCATATGTTGATCTTTGACTGGAAACCGCGAATCTCTTCTATCCTTTATATCAACCTGCAGTCAATAGTACTTAGATGCAGCTATCGTGATGGCTGGAGGATCAAAAGCTCGACATGTCTACAGTCACATAATATTTGGATGTATGAGCTGTAGCTTTATAGACGTGCCAAGAAGAATCATTCAGAGGCTTTTTGTCTTAATCTTTAGTTGAAAATTTGAAGCTCTATGTACGAAAAATATAATCCCACCTATGGAGGCAAAAAACGCCTGAGCCGTCTCGATTACGTTTGCATTGCCACTTTTTAGTAGCTTTCCAGAGGAATATTTTAAATAGCTTTCTAATATTAATTCTTTTCAGCAACTTTACAGTGCTTGATTTGTTTCCATAAACCTTACTTTACTTCTTACGCTACTGGCGAAAAATCTATAAAATGCGATTTTACGTCTTTTGGAAGTTGTATGACATGTACATCACGAAAAACCTTGTTACTCATTCCGTTGATCTGTCTATTTGTCGGTCTGCCTGTACGCTAATCCTTGTACTACTATATTAAGGCCGAAAAAGCTTTGTAGTTTCTGAAAATCGGTAAAAATGCCCGCGATCAAAAGGGTCAAAAAAAAAAAACATTCAAACTTCCTTTTTGAAAATTTCAAAGTCACCTGATCATTTTCAGAAACACTTGCAGGGGTTATAATTGGAGATCGGTGTTGTGAGGTGTGGGGGAGGATGTATTGCAGTAAATCTATTTCTGGAGCCTCTAGAACTAGCGCTCCTCTACGACAACAACCCACCGAAAGGCGCACATGTTGAAAAGTGGACATTATGCTACCATACCCTGCATAACAATAATCATTAATAAACTTTTTGAAAATTATCCTCCAACATCAATCCTATCCCTTTTCATCTCTAAAGTCATAAAATGCCATTTTTTGCTATTTGCGAAAACTGACCCTAACTGCAATCAAAAGAAACTAACAGCAGAGTACGAATAACAACAATATCATTTGCTAATAACAAGCACCTTTTTTTATTAATTGGCAGTGTTCATAATAGTTTATTCTCTCACATTACAATGTGTCAAAGTCCGACCTAAAAACGGGTTTTCATTAAAATTTAGACTTTGATGTTTTTCCGTGCGTCTCTCGCCATCTTAAGAAAAAACGATAGTTGGTGGGATGAAATGAATAATCCAGTGTTTCTAAAACAATCCTGGTCATAAAAGGTTGATATTTGTAAAAAAGCACGGGGTTAACTGAACACAGGTCGACTTAGAAACAAAAAACTAAATGCTGAAACTGTAAGACGTTTACTAAAAAAATTTGCATTACGATGTGACCTATTTGCAGCTACGGGATTATCCTCCAATTTCCGGACACCCTTTATATGTTTGCCGCTTGGTACTTCCGCGGCAAAAATGGGATGATCAAAGTGAAATCGACGAAAGAGCTAACTCCTCCCGAAGCCAGGCTTTAAATGTAATACAATTTCCTCTGAGTCATTATTTCCTCCCTTTCCTGTAGCTCACGTCCGTAACTAAACTAGCAATTTGCCAGAAGTCTCGATGAAAAATGCACGTCGGCTAGCAAAATGAGCGGAGGTTGGCTCTACTACCCCTCTAATCGCATCATCAGCTTTGAGGTCTCGATGGCAAAGTGCAGTCTCATGCATTATTGAGCACCTTCTTGTTAAACGCTGCCGAGTTGATTGGGCGACAAATACGATTACCGCTTTGTAAAGGACATGATGGACTTGTGAATAAAGATGGAGGTTGTCTGTTTTTTTTTCTTGGATTAGATGTGGTTAGTTTAGCGCCGTCGATTCATCAAAGTAATGTTCATCCCAAAGATTGACAGGGTGGATTCCACCATCCCAAAGTTATTCCTATCAGCCTGACTCCATTTCCATTAATAACAATAGAAAAGAACCGTATATTAGAAAACAATCTATACATCCCTATAAACATGCATACACACCAGGAAAATCCACTGATACCGCTTTGATTGCAGTAACGAGAAGGATTGATAAATCTTTAGACATTAAAGAATCCACCTTAAGTGTTTTCATAGGTATACGAGTAGAAGGTGCATATAATAAAACCACTTTCCTCAGGTATGGAATTCTCACTACTGTCAGCAGGTGAATACTAAACGTGCTATCTAAAAGAGTAGCACAAGTCAGTTTACGAAATGTTACAATGAGAAACTTGCTAACAAGGGGCTGCCCACAGCGCGTCTCAATCTCAACTCTTCTTTGGGACTTTGTCCTTAACTTACTGATGAGGCTGAATAGCGACTCTACCTATTACCCTATGCAGACAACGTCACGATACGAGGGATGTCTTAAGTTTTGCTTATAGAAACGTAGTAGGCCACGCGGATCGAACGTCAGTACTGAATCTAAACCTCACTCTTTAGTAAACTTAAATTCAAAGTTTCACAACAATACGTGCAGTGTTCTCACTACAGTGAATGTTTAAGTGTCACCAAGTCATTCGCAAAATGGAACTCAACCGAGAACATTTTCGCGCCATAATTTATTACAACTTTCAGAGACAATTATCGCAACAAGAATGCCTTGCTGAGTTACTGTCTGTTTTCGGCAACGAAGCGCCACATCAGTCGACAATTTCCCGTTGGTATGGATAATTCAAACGTGGACGGGTGAGTCTTAGCGGCGATCCCAGGGTGGGTGCACAAAAAACGGCCAGGAAAACGTCGATGCTCTGCGCAAATTCATCATTGAAGATAGACATGTGACATATCGCGAAATTGAGGTGTCCTTGAAGATCTCAAAAACCTCAATTCAAAAAATTTTACATGAAGAATTAGGAATAAGAAAATTAGTTTCTCGTTGGATAGCCCACCCGTTGACTGAAGAGCAGAAAGCAGAAAATGTGTACAGCATTGTTAGTGGTGATGAATCGTGGATTTACTGTTATTAACCAGAAAATAAACGACAGTCGGCTGTTTGGGTGTTCCAAGGTGAAGAAAAGCCAAAAGTCATCCGTTCTCGAAGTGTTTCGAAAAATATGGTCGCGACATTTGTGTCAAAAGCGGGTCATATTGCAACAATTCCTCTTAATGAGCAAAGAACTGTTACTGCGGATTGGTATACCACCATTTGTTTGCCAAAAGTCATCACCGAGCTTCGAAAAATCAACCCTGAAAGAAGAATCATCCTCCACCAAGACAATGCAAGCTCGCACACAGCCCAAAAAACAAGGCAGTATTTAACGGAAGAAGACGTGGAATTATTGGACCATCCTCCATATAGTCCCGATCTAAGTCCTAACGATTTCTTTACTTTCCCGAAAATTAAAAACAGACGTGGACAAAGGTTCCAGTCACCAGAACTACCTACCGTGTTGTTTTATTTCCATATGCAAAACTTAAAAGACATCCCTCGTACTGATTAATGGCAAATTCGGAGCAATGGTGCAGAGAACATGCTCTAAAACAGAGCGTTCTTTTCACCAGGAAAATGAAGTTGGCGTCCACCAAAACTCCTTCGTGACAGTTTGCGCTTTGCCTCTACAGGTGTACTTTCGGCGCAAAGCGAAACTGGAATCTACAGCTACAAAGCAGGTGAAAGAAGGCACAAATATCTTATGAGTAATGCCGAAGAATTATCGGCAAAACGTGAGGTTTGAAGCCCAAAGTTACTATGTGGATATACACTACTATAAATAATCAGTCAAATCGTGGCCTATGCGGCTGTGGTTCAGGTCACCAAATAACAGGAGGTAACCACAAAGATCCATATAAGCCGGATACAGTGGACTGGTGCCATGCGAACCACACCAAAGAGAGCAATGGAACTGATGCTGAACTTTACACCGCTAGAAAATTGTCTAGAAGAAGTGGCTCTGGTAACAAAGATACGCTTTAAATATGTTGTATACAGCCGAGCATAGTGTCGTACAACTAGAACTCGCGTGTTGAGCAAACTGACATCCCTGTGTATATATTCACAGCATCTGAAAGCCAGATCGAGACAGATCTGAAAAAACATATGGGGCTGGCTACAGAGTATACTGAATTTCAAGTGGTCTATGGAAAAAATTGCCCGCGTGATACAGGTCGAATTAGCTGGCATAACCTTAGCTGTAAGGAAAATTACTCGCAGGACTGCTACAGGCAATAATACGAGTAGTATCTGCACGGATAGCAGACGGGCAATGGTGTCTCAG